TACAATGACCTGTAATTGGATATCTGTGCTTTCTCCGTTTTTGAAGAGGAAGAATCCTCCCCAATGCGCATGCTGGTGAGAGGTAAGGTCCATCTTGCCCTAGAGAAGCTAAGAAGTCCAAACATACTCTTCCAGCTCTTGGGCAGCTAGAACCCAGGCACGTGAACCAGGCTTAGCCATTTCCATGTGCCTGCCCTATATTCTCAAATTTTCCTTCACTTTCCCTAAGCATTTTCTCTTCCAGATGAATTTTATAATCAATTTTATGTAGCATTTTTTTTAATGATAAGATTTTTCAGGTTAGTGTAACTACTCTGTATGATACTATAATAGTGGGCACATGTCATCATACTTTTGTTCAAACCCATAGAATGTATACCACCAAGCATGAACCCTAATGTAAATTATAGCCTCTGGGTGATAACGATGTGGTTCATGATGTCCACATAGTTTCACTGATTGTACCAGATGCACCCCTCCAGTAGGGAATATTGATCATAGGTGAGGCTACATATGTGTGGGGGCAAACGTCTGTACCTTTCACTCAATTTTGCTGTGAACCTAAAACAGCTCATAAGAATAAGGTCTCTAAAAAAGCCTGAGGATTTCATTAGGGGTTAAATGAGATGTATAGATAATTATGGAAAAGCTAGTCAGTTTAAAAACATGAATCAGGCTGAGTGTGGTAGCTCATACCTATAATCCCAGCACTTTGGGAAACAGAGGTGAGAGGACTGCCTGGGCCCAGGAGTTAAGGACCAGCCTGGGCAACTTGGCAAGATCTTGTCAATACAATGAATAAAAAAAAAAAAAATTAGCCAGGTGTGGTGGCACGCCTGTAGTTCCAGCTACTTGGAATGCTGAAGTGGAAAGATTGCCTGAGCCCGGAAGGTGGAGGCTGCGGTAGCTGTGATTGTGCAACTGCACTCCAGCCTGGATGACAGAGTGGGACTTCGACTCAAAATAATAATAATGAATCAACCTATTCAGGAAAATGGTATTTCTCTCCCATTTTTCTGGTCCTCCTTGAAGTTCTTTGGTAAAGTTTTATCATTTTCTTCAATTTAAGGTTTGCACATTTCTTCTTAGGTTGATAAAGTTTTTGTCACTAATGTAAAATAGGACTTTTTTTTCTTATTCATTTTCTAAACAATGTAGATGTACAAAAAAAATTAACTTTCTACAGTGGCCCTTTTAGCCACTCTAAACTCTTTTTAGGCCCAGATTTGATATCAGAATACTCTCACTCTTAAAAAGCTACTAATTATTTAATTTTTAAAGTGAGTAACAGTTTAATAATAGTAACATGAACGTTTTCTAAGAGTAAAGGTCACTTTAAATAAACATGTGGTTAAAGGTTGTTAGGCCTCTCTGGAGAGCTTCAAAATAAACATCGCAACTCACTTGCTTGTTTTAGATCAAGGTCCTAACACAAAGCAGAAAAAGAAAAAAATAGATGCCCTCATCTGGCCCTCCCCTCATTATGGAATATTGATTTTTTTGCTCCCTTAAGCCTAACTCAAGGTCAAAAGAGAAATATATTAGTGCTCATTTGCACTGATGGAACAGCAGGAACAAGGTGAATATGCCTTCTGAAAAAACACACTAAAGTTTTTAAAATTGCATTCTCCAGTGTGCCTCTATAGCTTCCAGAAAACACTTTTTTTGACCAGCTATAAGCATTTCCTCGGTAAAAAAAGCATAATTATGAAAAAAAGAAAAACATTTTGCTAATTATTTTTAGAGTTCACTCAATGGTTTTTAGTAGTTCAAATATCACTGTATATATTTCAATATTCTTATATACATATAACTTGAATTTGTTACCTGCTAAAATGTTATGTATAGTTTAAAATAGATACATATGACATATTCTGGTAGGGAAGAGATAACTGAGTGAATAACTAACTTTTCAATACTTCTGAAAAATATTTGGCTTCTATTGAAGAACACCAAGTTTATCTCAGTGATTATAGTTTCTAAACTCTCAAAATAGCTTAAACAGAAAAGTGTAGTAAAAGATTGTCTGCAAAAACAATCTACAAAGGATAAGAAAAGCTAAATTCAATTTTGTAGACATAAATATTTCCTAAATTTTTATGACTGTGAGTTCAAATACATAAAAATGAATTTTCTTTTGTCTTTGTAACAAAGATTGGTTTTAATTGGAAACAGTACAGCAAAATTTTTCCATATTGCAGGAGATATTATTACCCGTTTCAGAGCATTCTCAGTAGATTAGCCAGCTTTAATTTATAGAGAAACTTAGCTATGATTTACTTATATAAATAAGAGTTGGCACAGACTCAACATGAGTGGTCAAATTCCAAGTATTTTCCCCCATCATCTTGTGACATAACTTCATCAGGATTTAAAATTCCATCTGCTTTGTTCCTAACCTAATACAACCAGGTTCTAGTTAAGAGCAAAAAGACACATACCATACATTTATGAGAAATGTTTCCATTGCTCTTTCAAGTTGGTTTGTATTAATGAAAAAGCCATAGTGTGTGAATTATTATGAAAAAATGATTCAGAAAAAGCAGTAGTTGCTTTTAAAGGCAAAAGGGAGAATAAACCCAAAATCACATGCTCTGAAACTGGAAAAGTTTCAAACACAAACTATGCTCCTGTCTGGTCTGTCTGAAAGGCATAGGTGCTGAATATCATTAATATATTATTTCACATAAGTCTGGCACTGGTCAAAGGTCTGTTTTGAAAAATTATGTTACTGATAGGGAGTTTAGGCTTGGGGACCCTGGTCCTGAGGAAAATAACCCACTGGCTCACAGATCTAGCTCAATAGAGAAGTTAGGATCTAACTGTATACTGGAAATTACAGAGGTTTCTAAAGAAGCAAGTAACAAAGTTCCTAGGATTGGTGTCAAATGAGCCAAAACTGAAAAAAGGTTTTGGTTTTATTGTTGTTGTTTTTTAAACAGCTTTCAGAAAACTAATGAGAAAGACATTTTGGCCTTGACCCAGCAGAGGGTAAATGTCCCACTGGATAGAAATTATGTGAACTGAAATTTCTCCATAGTAACAATTTTAATTAATTACTCAAAGCTGGTGGGGTTGGTTAAGAGCTAACTATGGTCTCCTGTTTTACATCATTAAAAACTGTATTCAGGCTGGGCTGGGGGGGGGGGCTCAGCCTGTAATTGCAGTACTTTGGGAGGCCGAGACAAGAGAATTGCTTGAGCCCACGGGTTGGAGACCCACTCGGGCAACTTGGCGAGACCTCATCTCTACAATAAATCAAAAATTACAGCCGGGCTCGGTGGCTCAGCCTGTAATTCCACGCTTTGGGAGACTGAGGTGAGTGGATTGCCTGAGCCCGTGGGTTCGAGACCCACCTGGGCAACTTGGCGAGCCCTCATCTCTACAATAAATCAAAACATTAGCTGGGCATGGTAGTGCGCACCTGTAGTTCCAGCTAGTTGTAAGGTTGAGGCGTAAGGATCGCCAGAACCCAGCGGGTCGAGGTTGTGGTGGCCGGGAGTGTGCCACTGCCCTCCAGCCTGGGTGACAGAGTGAGACTCCAAAAAAAAAAAAAACTTTCTTTTCTTTATGTCTGCTTGTCCAGTCATTGATGAGAAGTATTAACAGCAATCTTACAATAAAGGCTCTACTTTTAAGGTGAGTTTGCCATCTTAAAGATTTGTTTTAAGAAATATTTAGTAATAAGCCGGGCTCGGTGGCTCAGCCTGTAATCCCACGCCTTAGGAGGCTGAGGTGAGTGGATTGCCTGAGCCCGCGGGTTTGAGACCAGTCTGGGCAACTTGGCGAGACCTCATCTCTACAATAAATCAAAAATTAGCTGGGTGTGGTAGCGCACGCCTGTAGTTCCAGCTACTTGGAAGGCTGAGGCAGAAGGATCGCTGGAGCCCAGTAGGTCAAGGCTGTGGTGGCCGGGAGTGGCCACTGCACTCCAGTCTGGGCGACAGAGTGAGACTCCAACTCAAAAAAAATAAAAAATAAAAATAAAAATAAAGAAATATTTAGTAATAAATAGAAATTTTGTCTAGGCTCCATATGACAAGAAAGTTTAGAAATCCACTTATTCTCTTATATAAGGACTTAAACAACAGATATTAACAATATTATCACAAGACATAAAAGATCTTTTGAAATAGAGTTAACCATAATTTTGTGATACTTCAGTAGTAAGCATTTTTTAAGCAAAAATTAAAACTGAAATATTATTTGCTATAATAACTCAGAAAACTAGTCATTCTCCAACAAGACTGGATTAACATGAGTTTACAGAGTAAAATACAACATTTCAGAGAAGTCAATTCATAACATTTTCATTGTGCAACACAAGTAGACAATATGCAGTTCTTGTAGCAACAGAAAATGGGTGAAGACTGAGTGTTCACCAAAATAACCTTAGAGGAGGTTATCACATGGAATGTTAATGCTATTCGATTCCGAATGACCATATGCACTAGAACTCTACAAACAAGAATGAAATCCAAGCCAAACTGAGTAGCTCTCATCATAGTGAAAACTAGCAGCCTAGCATTAAGTGGAGCTACACCTGTTAGGAGTAAAATTTGATACTCAAAAAGATGAGGACCAGTCAGCCAGCAGTTGGTCGAATGTATAAAATGTAATTGCATGTGGGAAAAAGGAAAGGGTTTTCTAGAAACCAAATTCCTGAACACATCTGCCCTCCCTCAATATCTTTCATTTTGACTCCCTGCAGACCAGAATGACTTGTTAAAATTATAAACCTTGAAAAGTCTGCTTGGAAAGGATTTGGCCGATAACCCAAACTCAATTCCCAGAGTCACTTCTCATAAGAAAGTTCAGAAATAGATTTCGTTTCTCATATCCTCCTGTATGCTCTTTGTTCTAATCCAAGTCGCCTTCTCTGACCCATTCCAAGAGCAGTGAACACACTCCTACCCCCCATACCCCACCCCCGGGCTTGGAGTGAGGAGGAGCTTGCTGCTCAGTGCCCATGCATGGTCAACTCATCCTTGCACACATACCTGCTTCCTTCTTGGTTCCTTTTCCTCCCTCTCGGCTCTTCTTCAACACAGCCTTTAGCATTGTCAACACTCTTTTGTTTCTGAAGAGAAAAGGAGGGGAGAGAAGAGAAATTAAATGTTCTATGCTGGACTATAACTTGCATATTAACACAAGAGGCAATGTGTTCACACAAACAGATCGCTTAAGATAATATAAAGGTAACTTGAATTTTACCTTGTCTATGAATAAACTATGGTGGGAAACTAAGTGTTAAAGACAAGGAATGTTCTATAACTTTTAATGAAGTGATCAGAAGTTCACTGTCTTGTTATAAAAGTTAAAAAAACACCCAATAGTGCATTCTCAGCATTCCATATCTAATTAAGGTTATGAAGCTCAACCTGGGTACCGTACTGTAGATATTTGGCACAGAAATAGTCTTTCAATTCCAGTTCATCAAAAGAAGAAAGCACTAAAACACAGAATCAAAAAGATAATGGTTATAAAGAAGCTATATGGTTAAAGACAATTGTTTTACAGGTGTTGCTAATTATATAACCACAAGGAAAATATTTTGGAAGGTTATGAAGTGAAACATACCTTATAAGCATTTGCAAAATAAATACAGTGGGAATACATTTTAACCCTGATCAGGGAACCAGATTAAACAGTACACACTACAGTGAGTTTTTACTATATATAGTTATGACTTTGGGGCAGGTAAGCAGAATAGGCCTGTGGCATTATGGCCAAATCCTTTAAATAATGAGCTGTATTTTTAAGCAGGGTTATACTGAGCTTGTAAAAACACCACAATGGACCAGGCCTAAGATGAAACACGAAACCATTTCTATAGCAAGAGATAGACAAAAGGACCATTATTATTTCATCATGAAGCTAGCCTCCTTTAGCTCTCTCCCTTCCACCCCAACTCGGATGAGGTGGCTGGACACCCCCAAACAGTAACAAATCTTACTGGGTTGTTACCTGTAATATCTTTGCTAATGCACTAAGAGAGAAATGCAGAAGTCAAGCAGGTCACTGCTGAACAGATAAGGGAGAAGGGAGAAAGGAACAAAGGGGAGGAGGAAGGAGGAGGATGGGGAAGGGACAGAGGGAGGGGCAGAGAAGCGGGACAAGAAGGAGAAACTCCTGTGTAGGAGGGCTCCCAGATCTGCCTAGTTGGCTTGAATGTTTCAAATGGGCTCAGTGTAACACCCCACACCACCTCTCAATCCTCAGAGTAAACAGAGGTTGTGTTCAGTGGGGCCCACTGAAAAGGGTAAGGAGCCCTCTCTACGCTGCCACTCGCAGAATCACACAATGTAACCAAGCAGGGTGACCTTTCTTATCATTTGGTCCAGGCCTGCATTTGTTTTTCCAAGTCCTCTGTTTTACTGATGAAGAAACAAGAGACACAGGGAGGCTGTCTTGTCCAGGGGTCACGCAGCTAATTAACAGCAGGGCCAGAATCCAAATCTGCAGACTCCTGACAGGACCACCTTCCCCTACTCCACCAGGCCGGCCTCTCCTCTCACATCAATGAAAATTTTGGGTCACAACAAACAAACCTGAGAGATATTAGGAAGATATATCTTAGGCAGTTAGAGTTTAATCATCTTACAAATAAGCCGTTACATACTAAAGGGGCATGGCTTAGAGCCTTTGGGGTGGGGGGTTAATGCTACTTGAATGAACTCAAAGAATTAGGTTTCACCTAAAAGAAAAACACTAAATCTGGAAAAGGGCCATAATTTCCACGAGGGAAACTATGAAACCACAAATGTCTCCTAATAGTCATACTTAAAAGAAACAGTGCAAAATGTTGTAGTCTAAAAAGTGGTAGGCAAAATTAAATAATAAATAAATAGATGCTGGTAAACACAGACATTTTCTTCTTCAAATCAATCAACCAACCTTTGGTGTATGTAGTTTCACAAAGACTATATACTTTAAAAAGAAAAAGAAAAACATTGACAGAGCCATTCCAACAAAGCGTGTCCAAAGTCTCCTGCACAAGCCTTGGTGAACTCTTCCACAGCCGTGTATTTACCTGGATTACTGACCTCGCCGGTTCAGGCCCCACCATGTCCATGAAATTTCCCCTGACTAATCCACTCAGGTCATCACCAATTTGCAACAGATCTACCATGCCACTCACAACACACATTCCACAGAGCAAGGACTAGGTGACACTGACTTTGCCATCTTATCCCAGACACCTTGTTTGGCTATTCTGGGGAGCTCAGCTGTTTTCAGGATAGTTACAACTTCCACATCAGTGGTCTTAAGTGAAAGAAACTATCAAATATCTGCTGTAATTTTTTCTTCTAGTTCCTGTCTTTCTCCATAAATAGCAACTCAGGGGAAAGAGCTTAAATTTTATTTTTTAAAAGCTATTCATGCTATGACCTGAAGATGATACCTGAGTACAAAAATAAGGAACTATGTCCCTCCCCCACACACATACTGAAAAGGAAAAAAAAAATAAGACTTCCCAGTAAGTTAAATTCTGAAATTATCATAGATCAGACTGAAGCTATGCAGAGTCACCTGGAAGTCCCAATCATCCCCAAACCCCCAACTGGAACTTAACATTCATCAGCAGACCTAAAGATTGTGTCCATCCAAAGGGGGATGGTCAGAAATTGCAGCTATAGTAAAAGACTGGAGTGACCAACACTGGCAGTATATTCCAGAGAAGATAATGTGGCACATCTGACATTGTCTGTGTTCTTATAAATACATACCCCATGCCCAATTCTGGAAATGGAAGCATAATGCTATTAGAGTCAGGTGCTATTACACATTGACATGATACAACAACTTTCCCTTGTTCTGATTCTGTTCTCACCAGGAAGCACCTCATGATCTGGCTCCTTTCTTAGCCTGCCAACAGTGGGGAGAGTGTGCTAGTCCAGTCAACACAACTGTCTGGCTTGTTGACAGGATTCTGGGAGTAAATTAATAAACCGTTGCTTCAACTTTAAACAAAAGCTCTCACGAGCTCTGTTAAAAGGAGTCACTTTGTCAAGTCCCACTCATTTAAGACATGGAGAATACTGAGCTTCTGACCTCAATTTGAGGATGAGAAGGAAGACAGTGGTAAAAGCCTCAATGAAAGTGGCAGCGGGAGGCACCCCTGTGTGGGCAGCTGGCAGGCTCTCCTCTGCTGCACCATCACACTTCCCTTCCTGAAGCAACTTCAACTACTGTCATCTTTCCCCTAAAAGAGTGAACACTGACTTGTCATGGACGTGAACCAAATAAAAATGATGTAAACCAGCCTTCCAGACACAGTCATTCAGACACAACTGATTAAATGACAAGCCCAACACACTGAAAAGAAAACTGCCAGATGCTATCAAGTTGTCACTAGAGAACCATACACGTGGTGAGACAATACTTATGGACAAGCATTATAGGATGAAACATAAGAAACAGGGCCCTTTTTAAACTTTAAACATTATTACATAATCAAGAGCACAGGTATATATATACTCAAATACTGATAAAACAGAATCCCTCAAGTTCTGCCCCATAAAACCTTAGCCTCTAAGATAGCAAGTTGAACAAATATATGGTTGGATTCAAGTAAGAGTAAATTGGCCATGGGTGGTGGCTCACATCTGTAATCCCAACAACTCAGGAGGTTGAGATGGGAGGATCACTTGAGGCCTGGAGTTCAAGACCAGTCTGGGCAACATAGTGAGTCCTCATCTCTACAGAAAATTTAAAAACCTAGCCAGGCATGGTGGCACCCACCCATAGTCCTAGATCCTCGAGAGGCTGAGGCAGGAGGATCACCTGAAACTAGGAGTTCAAAGTTATGATCGTGCCACTGCATTCTTGGCTGGGCAACAGAGTAAGACCTTGTCTCTAAATAAATAAATAAAATAAGTTTTTGAAAAAGTAGAGAATGTCAACAGTCATTTCTTTTAAACTACATACTTTTGAGGAAAAGCAAATAGGGGAGAAAAAGTAGTATATTTTCCTTACCCATGGCAAAATTCATGGTTGAAATCCCTATAACAAAAAGACAGATTAACAGAAAAATCAAAACCAATTGAACTAAAATGTTACATGACACAAGAGCCTTTAGAAATGAAGACCTGAATATCCAGGAAAACTGTATTTCTATGCTTATGTTAGTGAAGAATGGACAGTTGCATAGAAGTATGACTGGACAAAAAAGAGGTGTGCACTAATGGTAATAAACAGGGCAGGGGGAACTTAGCAAGGCCTGTTTTTTCAGATTTTTCCTGGCCTCTGGGTACAGGGCAGGATCCCTCTGGAATGAGGGTCTTATAAACAATTTACAGGTAAGATAGGTCAGAGAATTCCATTATGCCCATACTTTAGGGGAAGAAGGGCAGAAGGAAGTCAGAATGACCTTCCTACTTATGCAGTTTTCTCAAATGCCAAGGTGCCATGTTTTAGAGTCTTGTTTTCTGAGCCCCAACAAGAGGAAAGACTAGCCTCTATGTTACTACAACTGAAATTAACAAACAGATGAAAATTTTCTGTAATGTTCATTTAAAAGAAAAAAAAGGTGAATATGTAATAATACCCTCAGAAGGCCAATGTCCTGAAGTCACTCAAATTTCCTTATTTTCTACTATCAGTCAACATCTAAGTTTCCCAAATGCCACAGATTCTTCCTTTAAAAAATTCCAGAAGTTAAACTATCAAAAGCTTACCTCTACTTCTGGTATTTCTCTTGTAGCATATCAAGTCTCTAAGGACAGGCACAACCTCTCCACACAATGTGTTAGGATTTTGCACAGTGTGCACTGGCATATAAAATATACCAAAAAGCACCCTAACTAAAACAACAAGGAGATTATATTTCTGCTTGCAATCACAATGGTAATATCGCAACCATGACCACCTTGTCTGAGATCATAGAAGACCACTGCATTAAAATGTTCTTCTTCTGGAGTGCCATACTGCCTATTTACACAATTTCAAGTAAAATCTGGGAGCTGAGGGCAGGGACTATGTTTATTCTTTAACAGATACAAACAGAAGCCGGAAAACAGGTTTTGCACTCACTCTGTTCTCAATATTTGTTGACAGATTTAACCAGGCTGTAATGAA